TTATGGTCTTAAAATTTCTAAGGATAAATCCGGTGGTTCGGCGTGCTTTCGTACTATCAGGGCACAGTGCTTAGTGGCACAGGGCTCAGGGCACAGTGGCTTAGATGACGGCCCAAAGGTTGATAATATATCTTTCGCTGAAGAGACTTTTCTTCAGGAGTTTTTGGCGCTAAATGAGTCGAAATCGCCTGGTTCCGATGAATTACCGCCAACGTTACGGGAAAAAACTTGCTGAGGATCTTGCTAAACCGCTTGCCATGCTTTTCAGTGCCTCGTTTGAAGCCGGCTGTTCACCCGCTTATTTGAAATCGGCACGGATCACACCGTTATCTAAAAGCGACAGAAAGGTTTCCGCAAACAATTATATACCATTCAGCCTTCGATCTGCTGCAAAATTATGGTAAAGCAGTTAAGCGAGAGCTGATGTGCTTCTTCGAGCAGCATAACCTACTATCAACAATTCTGCAGAGGCAGGTCCTGCGTGACGAAATTGCTCTATTATTTGGAAAGTTGGGCCCTGGCAGTTAATCAAGTAAATCAGCTACATGTAGCCTATATTGATTTAAATAAGGCATTCGATAGTGTCCCATATCAACGACTCCTACACAAACTCAGCCAAATGGGTGTCAGAGGAAATCTTCTGAAGTGGATTCGAAGTTTCCCACTTAGCCGTTCTCAAGTTGTCCATGTCAGTGGCTAGCAGTCGGTAGAGGTTGCAGTCGAGAGCGGTGTTCCTCAAGGCTCTACTCTTGGTCGTATACTGTTCATTATATACGCCAAGGACTGCGTCCGTGAACTGGATTGTGATTTCGCTGCTTGCCGCTGATAAAAGATTTGGAACGCCATCAGAAACACAGCTGACGAAGAGCATTTGCAGACAAACCTAAACCAACTTCAAAGTTGGTCTAAGGACTGGATTTTGAAGTTTATTGATAACAAGTGCAATATCCTACCTGTTGGCCGATCCAACTCGCAATATTCCATGGTTCACTACATGCATAGGATCCACCTGCGAGAAGTGTACACGCAGAAAGTTTTGGGATTGTGGATCACGACGTTGCCTAAGCCCTCGCTGCATTTGGCAAAAGTAGCCAAGTCTGCGACGTCCGTCCTGCATCTTTTAAACGGGTTTCCTTTGCCTTTGTTAACGACCACTTTGCTGAGGACTTTTGAAAATTTGTGCGGCCGAAGCTGGAGTTCACTATCCAAGCAAAGAGATTCTGGACCGTGAAAGACCTCAATTCCCTCGAAAAGATTCAAATGCGTGCAACAAAACTTATGACCGAACAGGATTCATTAACATGTGTGCCCAACAGGACCAGGGGAAGATGATCTGTCCAGTTCTCCGGATCGAATGCGGCGCGGAGGGAGGATTTCAAGGTCCGGTGGAAGCGTTCCACCATTCCGTTGGCAGCCGGGTGATAGGCTGTAGTGCGGGTGCGAGTACAGCCTAAAAAGGAGAGAAGAATCTGGAATATTAACGACTCAAACTGGGCACCTCGATCAGTCGTGATGGTAGAGGGAGCACCAAAAATGGCAACCCAACGACTAAGGAAGGCTCTGACTCGGGGCACCGAGTGTATCGATCCACACAAGTGAGGAGGTAGGAACAGCCATTGAACAGAGGCAGGGGGTCTTCAAGGTCGAGATGAACATGGCTGAACCTCGTATCGGGGCTGGGGAAGATTCCGATGGGTGCGTTATTGTGCCGGTGGACTTTATTTCGTTGACAAGCAAGACAAGCCCGAGTCCAAGTCTTCAGGTCCTTACGCATCTTAGGCCAGACAAAGCGGCGGGAAGCTAGCTTGTCGGTGGCTCGACTCCCAGGGTGATAAAGGTCGTGCAGGAAGGAGAAGACATTGCGTCGAAGGGATGGCGGCACAAAGGGGCGTTGAGAGGCGGTAGAAACGTCACAAAGAATGGGTCCGTTGCCAGTCGTCAGCGGCAAC